TCTGAGAATTTCGAATGCATAAAAATGACTTATTGTTTTAATAATTGGAAGTTTACGTCAATTTGCATGAAACGAAGCAGGTGAGAATTGAAACGAATTAATCGGCATTCGAATGAGTCACCTACTGTGCCCGTTTCAATTATTGAAGCTTAAAGACTCCATCGGGCTTCCGCGTGCGAACCGGTCCGCGATATTTTTCGAGCGTCCAAATAAACTCAGCGCGAAAGTTGGAAAGAGAAGGAAACAGAGTGGATTCAATTTGCACGATAAATCTAACCCGTGGCCTAATTTCTTTTTATTTTTTATTTCCTCGCTACGAGCTAACTATTCCCGACCGGTGAAAATTCGCCTCTCTTTAACCATTCCGATTCACCGCTCTGATAGAATTATCAGAGAGATTCACTTTATACGTGGTCAAAATCGTTCGAGTGATTTCACCGTTTCGAAATTGTCAATGAACCTTCCCGTTGCCAAACGAACGGGAAACAGAATTCTTTCCAGATCTCTTATTTTAAGTCAGGGGCCTTCGATTTAACAGGAAAATGTTTACCAATCGGTGAAATTTACTTTAAAGTAGATTAAACTTTTATTATAATTATATTTTGCGACTCAGAGTTAACAATAATTAGTCGTGAGTTTATTTAAACCGAGAACAAGTTGGATCGAGTAGAACACGAAGTGCAAAAGATTCTGTTCTACGTTACTTCTCTCGGCTCTAACTTTTCTTCGAGAACAAAAAAGAGAAAGCAGATGTAGAAGAGAAGCACGCGTCCCCGCGATAATGGTTCGCGCGGAAGAAGGTTAAGGTCGAGGTGTCGATCATTTCGGGTTGCACGAATGACTCGGTGCGCGCTTATTTTTAGCGGACGGACGATGAGTTCCGGCGGTGGGCGGATCGGCTGACCAGACCAGATATCGTTTGCAGATGTCGAGCGGAATCGGTGCAACTGCGATGGGGATCGACGTTAGCCACGGGACGACGGGGGGCGGCGAGGGTGTCACGGGCGGTGGTTGCCGGCTACGGGCGCAGACCCAGACCCAGGGGAGCGGATCGTCGGCCAGCCCGCAGGAATCGCAGCAGCAGCAGCAGCAGCAACAACAACAGCAGCAGCAGCTACCACCCTCGTCGCAACAGCAGCAGCAACCTCAACAGCAACGACAGCAATCAGGGATCATGGGACGATCGAAAAAGGATAACTGTTGCCTATGCTGGTGCTGTTGTTGCAGTTGCTCGTGGTATTACCGTTGCTGTCTATACTCGGTTTCCACGTGTCCGATCAAGTTCGTGGAGGTTCACAATGGCCTTTCTTACAAAGAATGAACAATACGTTTTACTGTTGAGAAAATCTAAGCTTCAGTCATGATAAATTTCCACAAACTTTGTCGGAAGACTATCAAAGAAATTCGTTTACACTTTGGTATTCTGACGAGTCTGCTCTTAAATGAATCACGCGTTCTAAGACGATAAAATAGTCTCGGCCCCTGAGAAATGAATTAAAATGAACATCTCCCTAGTTCGAATTTGCACGTAGGGAAACGTGAATCGCGAAAATAAAATACGGCGACAATCGATCCTCGAAACTGTCCGATAACTCGTATATCCTGCCGCGTGACAAGCCATTATCGCCTGCGTTTCGTAATATAATCGTTCAGCGAAACGATGTCAGCCTATTGTCTGTAAAACGGAGCTTACGACCTATTTACCGAGTAACAGCCGTACCCACGTACACGTTCTTTCTGTTTCATGCTGGTGCCTCGCACAGGAACAAATGGTAAGCCCGGCCAGCCGCCTCTTTAAAGCTGTTTCTCACTCGAGATTATGTATTGAAATCTATATAGGAATTTTACCGAATTACAATTTAATGTCTAGTCTTACGAATTTTTATGTGTAACGTCGAGAGTGGTTAAGCAACTGTTCTTAACGATAAACGAAATACCTGACCCGTTCACCCTCCCCGACGCGGAACAAACAACTCGCAACGATAATTCTCAGTGGATAGAAATCAGGAACGTCCCCACCGGCAGGAACATTCGTACGATAAGCAAACGTCCGTGTCCGAGCGAGCATCGGTCGGATTTTTCCGTCGCCGAGAAGCATTCGAGACGCGCGATAACCGGCCCCGGGTCGATAGATTACGCCCCAGCCCTGGCACCGAAATCCTCTTCGTCCCCCCGGATGCGTAACACGTGTCCCACGACCCCCGGAAATCTGCCAGGGGGGGAGAAACGGTTTTCTCGCACGTTTTCCTATCTCCGCTTGTTTATCCTCGAACGGCGCGCTCTTTCTTCCCAGCCAACCGGCCGTTATCGTCGCCAGACGCGGAACGGGCCAGCTTCCGGGATAATGGAGATCGTTCCGCGCCGCTACGACAAATAGCGAATCTTTTAGTTCTCGTTTTGCCGCCTCTCTCGTCACGAGTCGTGTTTCCTTCTTTCTCATCATTTCCGTGCTTCTGTTCGTTTTCTGGTGGATGTTACGGCAGTTTTTGCTCGTGCTGGTACTACTATGTGATTACTACGATAAGGTGGAACGTTTCTACAAGCGTAGCATTTTCGGAGAGATATAAGGCTGATGGATAGGGAGGGTGAAATGGAGATATCTAGGTAATTATTTTGCGGTTTCAATTAAAGCAATCTTCGTTTTCTTCCAAGATCGTTTCCACGACTTGCTTCGACAAGACAAGAATTATTGAACAAGAATCATTATTGAAGAGTTATTGAACATATATTTAAAAAGCGATCTAAAAAATTGTTTGAACTAACTGAATGTTAAAAATGAACAGTTTGGCGGCGGTCGGTGGGAACACGGCAGGCGGTGGTGGCGATCAGAGGAGCGGCGTCGGCGGTGAGTTGGGCACGGAGAACGGTCTCGAGCTAGGACACATGGACGGCCTCGACGGGAACGTGGAGTGCAGCCTGGAGGAGATCAGATCGTGGGGCACGTCGTTCGACAAGCTGATGAAAAGCCCGATAGGCCGTAAGCTCTTCAGGGAGTTCCTCCTCAGTGAATACAGCGAGGAGAACATCGCGTTCTGGTTGGCGTGCGAGCAGCTGAAGTGCGAGAAGAACCCCGAGAAGGTCGAGGAAGACGCGCGTTACATCTACGATCGTTACATATCCACAGTCTCCGAGAAAGAGGTCAGTACCATTTCTCAGTTCTCGGGTAGATTATTAATTTAAACACATATTGTATACGAGACAACAAGATTTTCTCTTTGGTAAAGAAAGATGAGGCAGGCATTTAGAAACCGTAGTTCGACTTCCTTTGTGTTACAATACACAGTGTTTGCTTTTTGGCGAAAGAAGCCATCTGCTGTCCTCGATTAGGAACAGTTCTAACCATAAACTGCGAAGAGCTGACTGCATCATTATCACTTCCGTTATCGTTGGTCAAACATCCGTGCAGCTCGACCTCAGGAGACTCTGTGTAACCGCAGATCCTGACTATCTATATCTACGATAAAAATATCGGATCGTCATGATACTCCTTCAAGTTCTTTTTTTTTTTAATCTTTAATCCTCGTGCGCAATGTACAAATTTTAATAGTATAACTTGTACTCTGTTCAGGTGAGCCTGGACTCGCAGGTACGCGAGATAGTGAACCGTAACATGGTGCAACCAACGCCGCACACGTTCGACGAGGCCCAGCTGCAAATATACACGCTGATGCATCGCGACTCGTATCCCCGTTTCGTGAATAGCGAGCTCTATCGACGGGTGGCGAGACTCGGAGTCGGCGCAAGCAATCAGGACCACGCGAGTCGGAGCACGGGAAAATCGAAGAGGAAGAAGAGCACCACGTAATCGCTCGTCGACGATTAAAAGCAAAACTAATAATAATAATAATGAAAGCGATGGGGTGGCAGCGGACCAAAACCAGCCTCCGTCTCTTCTCAGCGCGTGCGTTTCGAGGCGACCGTTCGGGGACTGCGAACGCTGTCAACGCTGGCCGATTGACGACGGAAAGCCGGAGGGCATCGGCGCCAAAACACACGTACACACACGAATAAGAAGAAGAACCAGTCGGCAAGAAGCGTTCTCTCACCCTGGAATCCCTGTCCACGTATAAAGAGACGGAGGACGGAGGATCTCGAGGGCAAGGGAATTCTCCGTTTTCCAAAAAGAGGCACAGGGAGCGGAATAGGAACGGAAGAGTTTCCACGAAAGCGAAACTCGCTACTCGCTCTTCCACGCGATGCCACATCGGGGCCAACGTGCACGAACAAATGACGATGGACTGATATAAATTAAAATAATGTAACTAAAAAAAATGAAGAGTTAACGAAGATAAGTCGAGAGCAGGAACACGGACACTGAACAGAGAGGAGAAGGAGCCTCTTTACTTTTGAGACACTTGTGTATATTATACGCTCGTTCACGTGTGACGAACGATTAGATGATATCGAGGAAACGCACACGCGGGCCGATCGGGGATGACGTTTATCTTTCAAGGAAGTTCCTAACGGCGAATTTACGTGGCCTGATTTCATTGAAACAGTGCGGCCAATTTTGTTCAATTAATCGTACCGTACAACCAAAGATGAACCATGTATATTCGTTTTATAAACGATCGTTTTGATTGAACATTTCGATTAGGCGTTCTGAACATTTTGTATGATTATTCTAACTGAACATTTTTATTCGAACGTTATTTCCATTGTTCAGTTTACTCTGATATCAGTCATGTTCAATCAAAACGAACTCGTGTTAAGTTCCATAAGTCTTTCGCGGCGAATGATCGCCGATCTCTCTTTTTCTCTCTTTCTCCCTTGCACAAAACCACCCCTGCTCGATTACGAATCGTCCGAGCTTTGTCTTCTCCGCGTTCCGAGATTCGCTTCCCCGTTCTTCTCTTCGCCTCTCCGCTTCTACCTCTCACCCTCTCTCTCTTTCTCTCTTTCTCTCTCTCTCTCTCTCTTGCTCTATTCAATCGGCGAACTCCTTTTGTAGCATGCGTCAAGCAAGATTTATCAAAACTTGGAAAACGATGGGCAAATTCTCGTTTCGTTGTATTTTTTATTTATTATATCTTTCTCTGTGATAACGATTGTAAAATAAGCAGCAATATTCATCGCTGAAAATGATAGTAGTTAATGATTATCGAATGCTGGAAGAATGAGAAGATACGAGTATTCTGCGAAGAGGCTCTTTTATGATAGAATTCTCTTCTTTTTTGGTGGTCGAGTGATAGCGATTTCTGCAACAGGACCACGAGCAGAGTGAATTAATTTATTAACAGAGCCTCCATTGCGGAATATCCTGTCTGAAATACTTTTTAAAAGGAGTCCCGGTATTCGATGCTAAACCAAAGAACGTCAAAGTGCGGTTAAACAGTTTATTTACGTAACGTTCGTAAAACGTCCCGTTACCATCACGCAATAGAGATATGCAGGGAGTAATTTTCTTTTTTAAATCGATGTACACGACCTTGAATGACAGCTAACCACCTCCCTCATCGTTGGCTATATTTTTCCGATAATGTTCCCCGCTGTTTCTTTGAATGTATGCGACGAGGTGATTGGCGATTCAAGTTCAACTCAGACGGGTACGCGTCTCGACAATCCAATTAATTAATATTCAATTAATTCTCTTTGTAAGCTTTGTAATTCAAATCAAAAGTGATTTTTTTATTGAATTTTCGTTTGCAAGGGGTGAGAACGTATATTATGTAATCCAAAGAGCACCCGATCGTCGTTTTACAATCGATCGAGTTAGATTCTTATTCATGTAAGTTGAAGATTCTATTCTCTCATCGGATGAAGGAAAGAAGAAAGGGAAAGGAGTCATCGATACCTGCCAGACATCTTATCACTCCCATTCCATTGCGAATCGTTCCAAGCACGAAGGAACTCATTCATCCCCCAGAAACAGAGTACATATACCGAGTTACTGCCAGCGAGATACACCAAGGATCGACTGCGCCTCGACTGCTTCGGTGACCATCTTCGACGTAAGGAATAGATAGAAGAAGAAGAAGAAGAAGAAGAAATGGTGTATTGATCTAGTCAGCATCGTCCGAAGACGACGGCGTCAACGTAAGGAAATAGGCCTAAGCGCGGAAGACTTTCGACTCGGAGCGGAAAATTCGTAATCGCCAATTTAACAAAGCGAATCGTCGCATCGCGCGATGTTAAACAAATTTTAGTATTACCTTCCTCGGGGATGCATTTACAATGAAACAATTTCCTACTTATTTTTACGCATTCCTTTCTTATAATTACGACGATTGCTTAGGGCGAGCAGAACGCGATGCGACGATCGCGGTATCATTTCGCCAATAGAAACCTCGCGCGACTGTGCAAAAGTTCTTGAATTCCCTTTCCGTTATCATTGTTCACTTTGCACGGTCGGGCGATCGAAACGCGTTGATCTCATCACGACGGATCTCACCAGCAGCGGGAAGTGAAGCAGGAAGCGGAGGAGAAAAACGAAACGAATTTAAAGCGTGCCTCGCAGAAGACGCGCGCTCGTTTACCATACACGCACACACGTGACGATCTGACACGTGACCAGGGTAGTCCATTCGTCTTGCGAATCGCACAATTTCATCCCATCCGGCGGCGAGAATAAAATAAAACCCTACGGACTCCTGCAAATGAAGTCACGTTTCCCTCTGTGTTCACACGATCTTTCATCTCCGAAGCTCGCAAACAAATATAAAACGAGTATTACAATATAACAGAAGAAAAAAGAGAGTACGCTTCTTTGTATTAAGACTTTTATTTGATACTACATTGTTTTCCACTGTATAACAGTGTTTTTTTTTTATGATTTTTACTTCACGGGGTTGAAACACGTCCCTGGCCACGTGGCTGCAAACGAAATCTGAGACTCGTCTCGTTCAGAGGGAAGATCGTCGCGAGATGATAGCACAAATGTTAAAAGCGATTTAAATATAAAAAAAGAAAAAACAACTGTGAAAAGTGGAAAGCAACAAAACCAAAGTTCGTACAGTCAGTCACAGCGTTTGGCTACTGCCCTGTAGATAATATCCTAGATAGTTAAACAAAAAAAAAAACACGGCGACGATGGAAAAGCGGATTAAGAAAAATTAATTATACATTGCGAATATATGAATATACGTATACATATATGAATATGAAAATGGGCAAGCAAAACAAAAATATATATATATTATAAATATATATGAGAAATCACGTACACGTGTGCTACACACATATGTATGTTCGGCATTAGGTAAACGTCGGGGTGCGAATCGAGGGGGCGAGAAAGGGCGGGAGATGAGAGCGCACGCCGGTGAGAAAGAGAGACATTACTTTTCGTTCTGTTATTTCATTCTTTCCGTATCCATTTTCCGTGCGAGAAGACATCATGCCACGATCGAGCATTGCTAGCACCGCTTCGCAAGTCCTGTCTCGTTGTTTTCCACCCATCTTGATCCAACAGAACAATGAATCGACCCTTTACCTCTTAAGAATTTTTCACCCTCGTCTTTCGCCTAGAATCTCGTCCGAGTTAACAATTTTACGAGCATCGCCGAAACTTCACTCCTCGCGGAGTCGATGATATTTAAAAATCACTACGTCTACGTAAGAAATGAAGTGATACATGATTTATTGTAAGAAGAGATTCTAAGTGAGAACGGACTGGGATCAGGGAGGTGGAAAAGAACGACACGGGAGTGGGGTGCGCATAAGGACGGGGTAAGAAACGAGAACACTGAAAAAAAAAAGAAAAGAGAGAAAAGTGAAATACGGTGAAATTGGTCGAGCGTCATCTTCTCTAATAAACGCACAATTTTTCTGAACCTTCGATCCCCTGCTTCTTACTCCCGACACGTCCCCTTTGTAAAAACCGAATCACGACCTTTTTTGTACTCGAACGACGATGTTTGTAACACAAAGCCGGAAACCATCCCCGCATGATTTTTTCGATCGTCTCCTTCGCGGAATCGTCGACTTAAAAAATTTCGTTTCCAATCCTGAAAGTTTGTCGCCTGGAACCACGGAATTTCTCATCCCTGCTTTCTCGGCTCGAGCAAAGGACGCTAGGCAATAAGAAGGGGATGGAAATGTGAGGGTTAATAAACTGATAAAGAAAAAATCGTACGCTGTCTGGTGTTCGAGTATTGACAGACGTCTGTGTACAGTAACCGATGAAATTATACAAAGTAAATGATCCAAGTTGCTTTTTTACAATTTATTTGTGCTTGCAGTTTGAGTACAGTTCTATAAAAAGAAGATATACTTTGGTTAACTTTCAAGTATTTAATTTCTGCGTCAGAACCTGGTTAGTTTAAATCTTTTGTTCGTTCATTTTTCTGTGAACCGAGAAACGATGCTGCGAATGACAAGAATGTTAAAGTAACTCCATCATTTCCGTGGAAACGATAGAAGTTTACAGCTGTGTCACTTCCAGCAGAGTTCTATGAAAGTTTCCATGACAAAAAAGTGTCTATAATTATAGCCATCGGCTGAAACGCGAAGATTTATCGCATCTATAAAAGAAAATTGGGTAAGTATCAGTTTACTCTTGCAATTTTACTCGTTTGCGTTTAAATTCCAAGGCAAAATAGTCTAGCGACAAGAAAGCGAGGAAAAACGGATACAAAAATCAGACGATTTTTCTTGCAATTACGCAGAAGACGGTCATTGCGATTCCGGCGAGCTTGTGCGAATGGAAGCGACGTATAAACTCGCGCGATGCCCTTAATAGTACCACCACTGTGGCCATTTAGGGACGGAGATCGTCGAATACCACGCTCGTTTACCGCTTTGGGAGGAAGCATTGTCGACTTTCTTCTTTTTGCAAGGTCGATTATCAAGAAACGCGTGTTTTCGCGAAAAAATCTTTATAATCGATCTTCAGTATCTTCTCTTCATTTCTGAACTTACGATTTAAGAGTTTGCCGCATGCCTGATTAACGTATCACAATATTTTATTGCCTTATACTTAAGCTGATTTGCATACATTTTAAAATGTTTTAACATGACATGAAATTTATTTGCCATTGATTATTTTTTGAAAATTTCATGAAGGGTCAAGCAGGCTGACTTTGACATGTTCACTTCATCACCTGATGATAGATGGCACTGTCAAGACAATTTTGAGAAATTACACAATTATAATTAATGTGAATAAAACTTATAAAA